ACAGGATTTCCAGCTTAGAGTCCATTGTCGATGAATATCGCCATTTTGTGGAACAGTTAGAAACAGAGATTAAATCACTGAAGAATGGCGAGGAATCGGAAGAATGTCACCACAAGATGAAGGCATTTGAGAATAGCTTCAATGAAATAAAAGCCATGAAAGACAAAGAGGTGGAGATTGTGGAGTCGATGGACACTTCGCCCCCCGACGCGAGCACAACAGTCACGCCTACTGTTTATCGCGTCATTCATTTCAATCAAAACCCAATCGCAGTAAACGTTGAGAAACATAACGAAGAATTCAAACGACTCGTCGATGAGAACCAAAAACTGTTGAATAGAATCGTATCGTTAGAGTCGGGATCAGAAGCAGACGTCAGTAAAAGGCTCGAAGAAGGCGTCAAAAATAGTCAAGAATTGGAAAAACTGCAGAAAAAGTTGAGTTCCGCTGAAAAGAGTCAGCAAAAGATTATCGACGCCTTTAAGCGGACGAGTAAAGAGTTCCGAGAAGTTTGCTATCGTTTAACGGGTTTTCGAATCGGTATTTGTTTTATTTATTTTAGAAATGACTTTTGGTATTAAAATAACAAATTGTTCGTTAAAATGTAGATCTATTGAAGCAAAACACATACCGTTTGGCTCACATGTACGCCGATTCTGCCGACGATGTGTTGTTGTTTGAATGCGATTCCGACCGAACCATCAAAATGCTTGAAAACCAGTACTCAAACAAACTTCAAGATTCTGTGCAGACATATCTCACAACACACGACAGTTTCCCGGCATTTCTCGCTTCCCTTACACTCGAACTCTTCCACAAACAAACTATTGTCTCGTGAATTGGTTGACAGAAATGTTTTTAATTTTTTGATAAAACATAAAACAATAATACATTTATTCTTTATATTTGCTGACAATATATTTATTTAAATATCGATTAAATATTCATAAAAATGTTGCAAAAGTAGTTCTTTGTATTATTAATAAAACAATTAGTCTTCGGGTTCAGACTTTTGGAGTCCTTTTTGTAAGAGTTCTATCAAAATAGGATAAACAGAAGCAAATGATTTGCCCTCAGATTGACGGA